GGAGAAGCAGTCTGATACTTTCGCGAGTGTCTGCCAGTTTCCTCTCGAATTATAAAAATATTATAATTGGAAGTTTTAGCGCGAACTTCGGGTCGACATTTCTGTCGGTGAAAGGCCGCACCGGAGGAAAAAACGAACGATGTTTCCTCACGGGAAAGAAAATATTCTTCTCGGTAATAAACTGGCCTGCTGCATTAATCCAAGGGAATATTAAAGCAGTCCGTTGCCACGGCTAGGAGGTTATCCTTTATATTAAACGCAAAACCGAGGTTCGCGGAAGAAAGTGTGCTAGCAGCGGATCATTTATTTGCCGGTCCGTGTGAAAAATTAAATCGCGTCAAAAATTCAATTTGGCGCGGTTATTAGAGATCGCGGAAGGAGGAGGAAGGATGAGCAACGGCAGAGAGATGAAAAATTAGAAACTACAGAGGCCAACAATTCGAGCAAGCTGTTCGACTGAATAGATTGGGAAAGTTTAGTTTAGTTAGAAACAATAATCAAAGTTCGCGACGTAAGAAACGAGCGCTCCGAACCTTGTAAAATAAATCCAAGAATTATTAATCTCTTGAGGAATATTACGCTGCACTTTTTTTTCCTCGAAATAGAAATTTCTTTTCCTCCTCGAGAGCTATCACTGCGGCAAAGTTCTGTCGAAGGTTCTTCCCTTAAAGTTGAAACAAGAACGAGAACATTCAGTTTACATTTTCTTGCCTTTGATCGACGTTTTATCGTGCCGTAATCGCCAATTACAGTGTCCCAAGGGAACCCAAGTTTAAGATTCTGGCACATGATGATTTGTTAAATTTAATAAACTCAAATTGAGGAAGAAATTTTTGATCTTTGAATTACTCTTATATATTTTTTATAGAACATATGGAAATGGCGATCCGGCTGACACAGATTCCGTCTCTGTTTAATATTTGCCGCGCGTGCAGCCGAGCGAATTTTTATCACGTGCGATTCGGATCCCAGCGGAATTCGGATGGCGCGGAGTGCTAAAGTCGATTTGCACAAAGTCGCTTTCGCACTTTTGCAACGTAACAAGCCACCCCCACCCCCACCCCCACCCACCCCGCGGAAACTTGGAATTCCCAAGTTCGTAATTACGCACGGTGTGTAATGGTGTTCCATAGACGACAGCAGGCATATCGTCGTCGTGTTCCTCGAAATGAACAACTTCCACCTCCGTTTATTTATTCCTGTTTCCAGCCACCTACGCTGACGAGAGACATACGTGCATAGATCAAGGCACAGGTCCTTGACTTTCCTTGAAATTTCCGTACCGTGACGTAGTTGTA